CCCCAAAACCCCAAAACCCCAAAACCCCAAAACCCCTGTTAACAGTTGGATTGTTGAAACTATTGCCAGCTTTAGTTTAATTTTATTTGTTATTTGAGACTCCATTAAGTACTTGTTGGGATGGAGGAATGTTCTCTTTGGCTTCATTATATGTTTTTATAAGGCCTTCAAGTGTTTTACCAGGGAAATTTTCAAGGACAGCCTCATAATCTGGGGTTTCCTTGTGCTTCTCTTTCTTCATTAACCTCATTAGGAACTTTGTTTCCCTAACGGTGAAGTTCTTTCTGCGGCCGGTTCTTCTAATTCTCTTCAACAAATCCATTTTCCTGTTCCTCTTCCATCCAATGCAGATAGAGAGTTCTAAAAGTACAGAGACTTCAGGTTTTGGAAGTGGGAGATCATCTTTCCAAAAATTCTCAATTGAAATTCCTCTTCTCTGTCATAATTTTCTGAGAATTTTGAATATATCTATATATCAACAATAAAAAACGAGAGTTTAAGGTAATAATTTTCTAAAAAGTAACCACGATCTTTCCAAAGGGGAGGGAAGCTTATAGGTAGGTATTTCGTCCATCTGGGACGTAATAAACACTCTTTAGTAGCTTTCAAAGCTATTTTTCTTAAGTTAATAGCTTTTGATAAATTATCAGATAACTTATTTTTCCAATGGGGTGTTAAACTCTTTATTTCGATTATTAAAAACACAACTTTTGCTCATTATTCCAGAAGGTTTAGTAGTTTATAATATGATTTAGGTTAACCTAGCAGCGGAACTCATTTCTCAGGCTACCTATTTTTTAAAAGAGCTTGCTCAAAATTTCTTTCTGAAGTAAACCTAATTGATAGTTATTAAGTATGAAATTCAAATACTCAATTGATATTTGAATTATAGAGCCTCTCGAGCATTTTGAACATGGCTTACCTGCATCATTTTTCTTCGAGAATCTTTCTCCTTTGTCGAACTTGGTTATCTCCATCGGCACTTCTTGAGAAGGCTGCCGAGAAATAGGTTTCCTTTTTGCTTTTTCATCCATCTTTGGATTCATAATATTTGAGATATGAGCTTCTGAGGCTTCACTACTACGTATCTTTGAAGAGATCTCGGATTCAGAGGAATTGACTTTTTCAGGGTTGATTATGAAAACAGGACATCCATCTTGATTTAAAGTAGACTCAGTAAAGTCATACTTAATATCCTGCATTTCTTCTCTTAGGCTAAATCCTAGTTTAAAGTCATCATTAAGTCTTTCAGCTTTAATCTTCTTGGCAATGATCTCTGTTGGATCTTGACGTTTGGAAGTTATAAACTCCTCAGTGTAGTTGCAACCTTCAAATAGGTTTGCTTCGAACATTGGGTCGAGTTTGTCTTCTTCATTAGAGAGTTCATAAAAGTCATAATCCTTCGAGGGTTCCATCACTTATTTTGTTATTAGGTATTTAAATTATTCTTTAATGATCAAAAAATTTCTTTTATGTATCCACGTTTGACCAAACCAACTTTCAAATGAAGATCGAAACGGTTGAGATAGACAAAGCAAGAGAATTTGAGATGTAAAATATAGCCCATACCAGTGCAGAGAAATAAATGATTATCTGTAGGGCTGTTAAATGTTCGAAAAAATTTGAGGAAAACTAATCAAGACTCTGATAGAAATTGGAACAATAAGCCCTCTCATGTCTGTAGAGGAATTTTATAACATCAGATCATCACCCTAAGAAGGGCCACTAGCACTGAATTATGAGCAAGAGAAATTTGATTTATCTCAGAATTTTCTTAAACTTTAATATTCCCTAATCTTGCCGCTAAAATTCATTGTATTTTAAGTTTCTTAGTCTGGTTAGGAAGCTGTAAAATTTAGACTAAAACCCAAACCCAAAATTATGAGACAGAAGAAGCTGTGAAGATATTGGACAATTTTTAGAACCTAAATTTATAGAAGGTTTGTTAAAATTTTAAAATAATGTCACATCTTTCTTCTGCCTTCTTTAGAGAGTAAAGATCAACATATTAGAAGAGTGTTAGCAATGGGCTGCAACCATATAGAAACTTCCAGAAAATTTGCTGTAAACTTTGAAATCACTTGTTCAGCAATTAAATAAACTTATTGGCTCTTTTTGAGCAAAGAATTTGTCTAGAAGCTTTAAACAGTTGAGTGGAAACAAGGGAGGATCAATCCTTCAAAGAGTTTTAGCTATAATTTAGTTACAAATTTTTTAATGATAATGTTTGCATGAGCTCCATACTTAATACAAGTTGATACGTCAGGACACAGATTACTGATTGGTTTTGTCCGGATTCATAGTAGAAATTTTGAATTAGTATTTGGAATATTTTTCCATAAATATAACAAACTTCTCTAACAGCCATCTTAGATTTTTAATTATTTTTAATATTTCCCTTGAAAAGACCAATACCAAAGACTCTGGCTGGGCTATCTTATTTGAATCTTAAGAGGCCTAAAGCTTATTAGTATTAAAATATTCTATTAATAACTTGAATCATTTTAGGTTGAAGAAATTAGATTTCTGACAGAGTATGACACAAATTCATTCATGAATGTAACTTCTCTACTCAAACTGTTCTCTAGAACATTTAAAGATTTTAGCCTAGTATTCATGATTAGGCTTTTGGTGGCTTTTCAAGGTCAGGCAGATCAGCTAAACATATAAAAGTCAGCCACAAGAAGGAATAATAATATATGCTTCTAGAGCAATGTTCCACACCTACTTACTCATTCCGAAAACTATTCAATTTCTTTTGGAATTCCAAGAAGCAACGATTTGAGTCTTTGTTTGTGTAAAGATGTAAGGACACTTTAAGCAGAGAGTCTCCAAACAAAGGTGATATATTTGGATATTGCTAAAAAAGCATTGGATAACAGAAATTAAGTTAATTCAGGGCAATTCTTACACAAATCTGATCTACAAGACTGTATTTCAACACTTTACAGAGTGCTGGGGTTTTGGGGTTTTGGGGTTTTGGGGTTTTGGGG